CTCGAGATAATAATTTTTTGGTCACCCATCCCGTGACTGACCCTTGCGAAAGTGGCTTAACGACAACGATCGCGGGCCGCGGCGCTTATCCACTACGCCACCGAGCTAGTAATGTCTTGCCGTTACTGTTGCCGTTTGTACATGTGTATTTGTGTGTGGGCGGTACACAGTAATCTAATAGTAGTCATTCGAATTACTCACGTGGACAGAGCTATTGCTAATCAGCGGTTACGGGTTTTTTCTTGGTAAGGCTAAAATAACAGATGTACTCTTTACCTTTGTACGGCAGAGTTACAGATTCTGTAATATATTTATAAAAAATATAAATATAGTGACACTCGTGCCCGTTTTCACTAAACTCAGGAGTCGCCTAATTCTGTCGCCTAAATATTTAGGAATCGCCTAAGGTAAAAATGCATTTCATCATTGACTAGGAACCACCTAACGAAATTATGTAATGTCTCAAGTTATGATATTCGTTATGTGGCGCCTTGCCCTAGGCATTTGCGTATATGACATGTCATAAATATTTCAAGGGATAAAAGCAGAAATATTTATTTGAAATTAAAGTAATCTGCTTAGGCGATTCGTAATATTAGGCGTTTCCTAGTTAAGATATGCCTTGTTCTAGGTTAGTGAAAATGGATGTCAATGTCTTTTTCGTATTTTACTATAAATTGTAATTTATTTGTAATGACTTTTTGTGTCATAAATAAATATAAAAAAACAGTAGATCTTGCAGATTCTGGGTTGGTTCTGACGCGCTCCTTGCTGGACCTCGGATTCTTCCCCTATTAAGGGTATACCTATCCTTTTCAAGACATGATAGTTGGAAAACCCTGGTTGAAGGCATTCTCCCTGCGTTATCAAAAAAGGTCTTGCAGTATCTGACCGGAAGTGGAAGTTGCAAGATATCATAATTTCACAGTTATAGCAATGGATTTGAATATGAGATCCGCAACTCTGCATATTAATACAACATTGACTCTGTAATACAGGAAACGACGCATCTTATAACATATAATATAATATAACCGGAACATAAACGTACCGTTTTCACCGCCAATTAAACTAATTATACGGCAATAAATTATGTCAGCGTGTCCGTTTCCAGGAGGTGGAAATTTAGTAAGATGCATAAATTTCGCTAGCATGGCACACTGATTTAAGGGTACGCTTGCTCACCAAGTTAACATATTAAGTTTTAAGCAGAACTAGTTTCTTAATTGCACATAGGTAATAATTTACCAAAAGATATGTATAATCAAATAGATAAAAGCACTCGTCTGGTCTTCCAACATAAGATTACACAACGATCATTATTATCATAATTAGCCCTTTAAGGTTACGGCGTACGGTTAAGGAGGAGGGGCCATGACCGCTGGCCCAATGCAGATTGAAGGGCATTAACGACTTCAAATGCGGCCGCTACCAACGGCTTAACGTGCCTTCCGAAGCACGGAGTAGCGCGAGATAATAATTTTTCGGCCACCCATCCCGTTACCGACCCTTGCGAAAGTTGCTTAACAACAGCGATCGTGAGCCGCAGCGCTTATCCACTACGCCACCGAGCTACAACAACACAACAATCATACCCGATACTAAAAATATAAATCCACCTATTGGATATATATGTACCATATTAGAAAACTTAACCAACAAACTATATTACGACAACCTAATTATAATACTGTGACATCTGCTGACGACCTCCGTCATTATCTCTGAGGTCCCGGGTTAGATTTGCGGTCGGGTTAATGTACTGAATGAACTTCTCTAGTGTCTCTGGTAGAGGTGTTGTTAGCTTCGGTTCATCAGAATTCCATAATACCAGTACTTGAGCTACTTAATTTTTGATCTGAATATGTGATATTATCTTTATTTATATACTCGTACCTTCACACATTAAAGACTTATACTTTATCAATTAATCATTTCCAAATCGTCCGCAAGAGAGTTACATTCGTCTTGGCTAGGCTTTGCCACCCAAAGCTCAGTAAAATGTAACTTAGACATAAGTTGATAATTTACAAAGCTTGCATTATAGGGTAATCTATAATGATACGGTTTGGTTACACAGCTCTCCCTCCTTTCCTAAGCCGCTTTCTACGTGGTGCCACGGGTTGACCTCAATACATGACGCAATGTCGACCTCTGCGCGACTTCAATCTGGTTTAAATCCCTAAAAAATAGTCTTAAAGGCTGTACCTAATGTATTTTTACTATTATCACATTCAAGTACGGAAACATCAAAGAACCCAAAAAACCAATGGAGGCGTAGTGCTGCTCGAAGCTTTCTCCCTTTCTTGTCGAGTTGCCTGCGAGCATTAAAGCCGTCACAAAGGCAAGTAAGAATTTTATGCTAATACCGAAAGTAGACGTTTAAAACGCATTATAAAGAAGGAACGTTTTCCACTAGCGAAGCTAGCCAAAGATATTAAGTAGAATCAAGTGTTACGGTTTGGAATACTATGGAAATTACTGTAAACATACGATATTTATCAACTTCAACATACAAAGTATAAATAGTAAATACAATAAATATCGCAATCACCATCTCCAATACACATTCTATACGGATCATCATACCATACTGTAATTAATTATACCTTTTTGTTTCAACAACCAGCAAGTTATAATATGGTCCTCACTAACATTAATAAAGAAGGCGAAGTTGTAGGATACAAAAAATAATTGAAAATAATAAAACTTGATATATATAGATTATAGAAATTTTAGATTTAAGAAATAATTAAGTAAATTCCGTTTTTGCCCAAATAATATTTATGACCGTTCTTCCATGAAGAATCTATTGAGTATAATACTATGGCACTTTTCTAGAATTTCAAATTAAAAATTACAAGAAACCTCATAACTGATTGCACTGATACCGAACAGACCCATTCAACAGATCAAACTCTGTTCAATTATAGAGAAGAAAATACAAAATAGCTTCGCATCGCTACGAACTGATGGTAAATCACGAGCACAATGTAATATCCGGTTCCGGTGCGGGGAGGCAGGGTGAAAAGGAGACTAATTCATAAATCCAGAGGCTAGTTTTTCGGGCTTTGTGTTCATGGAGACGGCTATAATGGACCGTTTTACAGTATTTAATAATTTCATTCGGATTTGCATCTGAATGGTGCCGTATACCCTTTTAAATAAATTTAAACTTAACCATTCGATTACAATCAGCGGCGTGCCGTGGTTTTTGCTTTGCTTAAGCGGCATAAACTCTATGTATTTATGTTTAATATGAAAAATTTCATCAAAAATACCTTATTCATAGATGCTTTAAATGTACAAGTGCTGCCTTCATTAACAGTAAAGTCATTCATTTTGGACATAATATTTTCAAGATTTTTCACATAGTATTTCTACACCGAAATTTGTCATAATCATCCCAAAAATACGTATTTTTTCCAATTTCTTGATGTATTCTACCCTTATTTTTTACAACAACGTGCATTAATAAGTTAAACACTTAATATACTGAAACCCGAGCGGACACAAATACACAAATGAAAAAACTGTTCTGTTACCAATTACCGATTGAAACAACTTCGAGCTCACTTTAAAAACCGGAAAACCGGAATCCCATTACAAGTGCCGTCCGTCGATGCTTCCGTTTCAGATTATTGAGTATCAACTGAGCCAAAGAATTAATGGTTTAAAAAAAAAAACATTTCGAATTCACTGGTGCAAACAACTAGAAAACTAATTTATTATTTAACTATTTATAATACATTATCACAAGTAATTAATTGAGTGCTTTATAACTACAATAACGTTATAAATAGCACTCGTATGGACATTAATTTAATTAGACACGATAAAATTAATATAACCTTTAGGAATGCCAATATGAAATCGATATTATTGTGGCAGTAAATGTCTATCCTGAACATGTACACGCGTCACGATATCACAAAATGTCAAACATCTAAAATTTATTTTAAAACTTAACTATGAACAAATTGATGTTAACACCAATTTGACGGATTTTTACGTCACCGTTTGAATGCAAAAAAACACAGAAAATCGAGCTTGTAACTATCTATACCGAACGAGCCGAGGGAGGTGAAACAAATCGATTTCTGCATTGTTTTTACTGAACAGACCAACCCTCCTAACGTTAGTTATTATTCGTATCTACTCGCTGCATTGTCAGAATTCTTGTGTCATTTGTCATTCAAATACGAGAAATACCTAAAACTGAATTTACATCACGAAAGTTGCGATGCATATATTTTTGATGATACTAGTGTAACTTAACTAATTTCACCACGATTTACTTTTCTGGATTGTTTCGGCTATTGACCTCGTGTAAATAGATGGACCATATGCCGTTGGAAGATAAACACAAAAGATATATGTAGTTAATATAAATGCTAAAATAAGTCATAATCTGACAATAAAACAGAATACGCAATTAAGAAAATAATTAATATCACTTCTCCATATATATACCGTAATAGATTTCACAAAATGAAGATCTATTAAAATTTTTATTCATAATAAATTACGTTCGTATAATTAACTTAGAATGCTAAATTTATGTGAATGAAAAATGGTGGAGCTTTCCGATTAATATACTTCGGGTTTTTAAATAGAAAGCAAATGCCGATTTAATAATTGAATTGATTTATGATTGTAAGAGATTTTATCTTTTAGTTGCGTATTCGTCCATTTTGTTTCAATATTTATAATATAATTGATGTTTTGGATAAGATAAGAGTCCATGCTTCAAATATCTATATGTTTTAATTTACTAACTCATACGATAACCCTCTTAACTATGTTCTATAAACATCACAACTGTGACACTGCGAAAAACTACTTTCTAAAGCGGTGATTTCTGTACGACGCCACCTGTCCGAGGTGAAGGTCGAATGTTAATATGACCATAATATTACGTCAGAGACTGGTTTGTCATTCGTTTGACGCGCGTCTTGTCTCACTCAGTGTGCCATAGGACGCGAACGCGAAAACACGCGATGGATTTAACCGGTCGCGTTGCTATAGTAACCGGCGCGAGTTCTGGCATAGGGGCTGCTACTGCAAAGCTGTTCGCTGCTCAAGGTGCCTTATTAACTATAGTCGGAAGAAACGAAGCGAGATTGCTAGCCGTCGCCGATGTTTGCGAACAAGCCAACGGTAACAAACCAGTGTGCGCACTCGTCGATCTAACTGTAGAAAATAGTTGTGAAGAAGTCGTGAGAAAAACCGTCGAGACATACAATAAATTGGATATATTGATAAACTGTGCAGGAAAGGCAATGTTGACGTCTCTATTCGACAACTCAATGATTGTTTTTGACGAACTGGTGGCATTGAATCTTAGAGTTCCATATCAAATGACGCAACTTTGTTTACCACACTTGAAGAAAACAAAGGGGCACATAGTAAACGTATTCGCTTCGCCGATGCGTATGAGACCTGGTTTTCTGCCTTATGTAATGATAAGAGACGCCATGGAGAGGTTCACTAGATCAGCAGTCCTAGAATTGGCCCCCGAGGGAGTGAGAATGAACGCCGTCCGCCCGGGCATAACGAGAACTAATCTGCTGTCAAACTTGAACGTCGACGACGATATGATGGATCATGCTTACGCTGCTATATCGAAGATCTTGCCAAATTCCGCCATCCTAGAGCCCGATGAGGTGGCGAAAACTATTCTGTTTACAGTCAGTGATATTTGTCCAAATCTGAATGGTTCTAATATACAAATAGACGGTGCCGCCACCGTATCTTGATTTCAAACCAGTTGCGTTTAACAGAGACAAAAATTATAATAACAATCTATCTGAGGAACTTGAAATCAGAAACAGGAAAACAGCGACACTTAATGAATCATTGGCATTTTATGTTTGTGATAATACTCGTATAATTCATATTTTAAAGTTTAATTACCAACCAAATTTCCAATGATAAAATGAGTGAGGTGAGGAATGAAGTCTTTTTTTTTAACGGTGGAAAATCGACGTCGATATAAAAAAAAAACAGTAATGTAATAATGAGTATTAATAAAGAGTAAACATTAAACTCAAATATGATAGTGTCCAAATTAAAAGAAGCAAAACCGATTGACTGAATTATTGTACCAACACAACACTTATATAATAAATTCAATCAGTACATTATTGAATGTATTATGCAAGTCTTGTATTTAAAGCATATGTATATAATATTTTATCTGTATATAATACATATTCATTCTTTGTATAGACTAACGCTTATACTAATGTTAGCTAGAGTAATTACATTATACCTAACGTTATATTGTTCAAGTATATTTATATCATCAAGGTCGTCATTAATGGCTAGTTAACCACTAATGTTTTAATAGCCTTAAAAAAATTGTAGGCATATGTCTAAATATTTTTTCACTTGTCTTACACGCCCGTCATATGATGACATAGCGTGCTAGAATAACTTTTTTATAATTAGCTATTTTGTATCTACGGCAAACGAGTCAAAAGAAAATCTTGATTCATAAGTATAATAATTATGATTAAATACCCTGTTTAGTACTGCTTATAAAAGAAATAATATTTTATTTTTTAACTCAAAGAAGCGATTGTAAAGATTCAGTAGATTGTCAGTTGTATGATCCATTTATGTACTATAAGTATAGACACATTTACGGGAAATGTTATGAAGAAATAAAAAAAGAGGGGGCGCGTAAACTTTAGAATGAATTATCCTCTGATTAATAGAAAACAAACTAAGAGACCCTATAAATACATCAAATAACTAGTGGACGCCCGCGACTTCGTCCGCGTGGAAGTCGGTATCCCGTGGGAGTGAGAAGTTTTCCCAGTAAAAAGTACCCTATGTGTTATTCTGATGTATAACCTATATTGCTGTAAAGTTTTATCCAAATCCGTCCAGTAGTTTTTTCGTGAAAGAGTAACAAACATCCATACATCCATACTTACAAACTTTCGCCTTTATAATATTAATAGGATAACATACAATTAGTTAATATCTGTCTTCGATTGTCTTCAATTTGTTGACATCTAATTTAATTAAAATGTACACTTACCAAACGTAGCTTGATTAGTGTGATATCTAAAGATCTGTCCTATCTTTATAGGGTAAGAGTACTTTTTATAGGAATAATGAATTATGTTTTGTGTAATTAAACATTTCTCTTCAAATTAAATGAAAATGAGCAGTATCTAAACAACATCTAAAGTAATCTGATTCAATGGCGGTACATGTGCAATTTTGCAAAGCGTTCTATATTCGGAACGTATACCCAGGTTTTAATAAACGCCAGACGGAACGTATCGCGGCAAGAGCTCCGCTGATGAAAACCAGGCTATTGTTTAACACAAGACTTAGGGTTGACACTATTTGGAGGGTGAGCGTCCTGGCGACTCGGTCATGGGTTCCCGGATTTCAGCCCCATGGGAGGGTGGGCAAACCGTAGGGGTTTTTGTGGGTAGGCCTCCGGGAACCTATCGTGGGGCTAGCGACAGGGTGGGTTCACGAAGGAATCCCACAAACTCCTTCTCACAGGCGGCAGGGGTAGTTAGTGCCTTATGCATTTCCTCAACGTAAAGAAAAGGGTTAACACTATTAGCATAGTAATTAATTATAGATAAAATCTGAATTACAATTCAAGCAGGTTAGCATACTTTAATAAGGTAACTTTTTTTGAAGAACGGTTACTTCAATAAATTTAAATTTTAGTTTCAGATGTGTATCAAAACAAGGTATGATATAATTAACTTTTCGAAACTGTCTCCTCGTGATATACTTCATTTCAAAAACACTCGGCATAATTGAGATACTTAACTAACGGTAGAAGAAGAGTGTATGATGTTCTTTATGTTATATGAAATCTTTTATTACTGAATTTACATTATCAAATAACCTGATAAATAGCGATCAAATTACTGTATTTAAGGAAGCTGATAATTCGACCTGAATAGAATTTTTTTTTACAAATAATAATAGGTAAAAAAAATCCTACGAATTGAACTGAAAATATTAAAATAAATAAATGTAATACACGCATGGAGAGGCATCCCTGTTCTGATTTACACTGTGTGACTGTTGATCATGAGTGTAGCTGAAACTTATTATTATTGTACATTTTGTACCGAGTTGGATACCGCAAATTTACGAAAATCACAAATATAGTTCGTAGTATCCATAATATATATTAGAATCCATAGACCGGATTTAGTATCGAAACCGGCAAGAGTTCCTGGAAATATCTGTCATCCTATCAGATAATAAAAAGACAAGAGACGATTGCAGCTGTGTTAGTCAAAACAAAACGCTAATCAAAATTGGCGTACATCGACATATTAACATCAATTTTACACAAATAATTTCACGTATCAAACACAACAGAGGCGTGTTATGATAGAGAGCCAAGGACAGAGCGATACGAATTGAAATGATACACACGCCGCTTATCATTTGTTATTCAATCACGAAAGCGAGCGCACTGTTTCAGAGATTAAAACAAATTGCCAACGCGAAAAATAAAATGGATAATTTCCTCGATTTCAAAGACAAAGTCGTTATATTAACAGGCGCTAGTTCAGGTATCGGTGCAGAAACGGCAAGAATTTTATCAAGTTATGACGCCAAACTGACAATCGTTGGAAGGAACGCAGAGAGACTTAAAAAAGTGGCCCAAGAGTGTGAAGAAAAAAAAGGTATGCCACCACTTCAAATTCTTGTAGATTTGACATATCCAGGAAGTTGTGAAACTGTCGTGCACAAGACTGTGGCAAGATATGGGAAAATAGATGTACTAATTAACTGCGCTGGAAATTTCTCTCTATCGTCAGTGTTCGACGAATCGATTAACTCGTTCGATGACATAATGGGTATAAATTTAAAAGTGCCGTATCATTTAACGCAACTGACGATTCCTCATCTAGTGAAAACAAAAGGGAATATTATAAATATTTCATTTTCTATGACAAACAAATATAGACCGGGACTTTTGGTGAGCAATATGGCGAAGTCGGCTTTGGAAAGGTTCACAATACAAGCAGCAGCAGAATTAGCAACGGAGGGAGTTAGAATTAATACTGTCACGCCGGGCATCACTAGGACAAATATTTTATCGAGTCTGGATATAGATGATCCTACACAGCAGTACGTATACGACTGGATATCAAGTATTTTACCCTGTGGAAAAGTTCTTGATCCAAAAGAGGTAGCTTTATACATATGTGTGGTGGCTAGTGACGTTTTTAAAAACATGACTGGAGCGAGTCTAGTTATAGATGGTGCTTCATCGTTAGTTAGTTAGAAGAAATTAATGAGATTATAATACGATCGTTTAGCTATCTCCAATCTTTTGTAGTATGCGGTCTAACGTTGATCGAAGTTGTATAAGAAGTAAAAATATTTGAACACTAAATAAAACTTACCACAGAACTTAAGATTTAATTATAATTTAAACAATTTAAAATTAAAAAGTATTGAAGTTATAGAATTTTATGTAATATTAAGAAATTTCATAATTCTCTCTTTGACTGTTTATTCCTACCCATCCCAAATTCAAAACAAAGTAAATTATAATAAAAGATAGGATGTAGGTAAGCCTCTTTTGGAATTAATGTAAATACTCTATTTGTCTTCATGTTTTTGGGTAACGATATAACTGGGTATGGGGTGGTCACAGTTGCGGTGTTAAGTAGTAGACATTCTTGCAAAATTAACCCGTACATTTATAAAATTTTTGATGACAGATAAATCGTTTCAGCTCAAAATGAACACTTCTTAAAATGACAACAAAAATAGCTATTTCTCAAAAAGACAACTTCTAATAATATATGACAAATTTGCATTTCATCAACTTTCATAATGTTATCTACTTAAAGGATGCATTTCTACCAATAACACGGATAAAATGTATATTCATTAATGAAATGAAAATATTTTTTCTCAGTAAATTGAAAATAAACTACGAATTAATAATCACAAAAGCACTATACTTCATCTATACTTAGTAGCTTAACTTCTAGCATGTTTACAAGATGATTACCGACATAAACAGTCGCTTACACAGATTCCATTGTTACTACTCGACATCTATACAGTTGCCCTACTGACTTTAAATGTCATTTATATCTCCATGATTTATTAAAACGTCGACAGGGTTGTCATCTGTCTTATTTGAGGGTAGGAACAGAACTGGAGTTTTTATAGGCACGGTGTTATAGGTGTTGTTGTTCCTTGTTAATCTCACTAGGGTAGATGAAATGTTTTGTTAAACGTAAATGTTACTTTCAACTTTTTATGTGGTATTTTGCTAAAAAGTTTATTAATGGTTTAGGTATTTTATTAACGAAATAAATCTAAATCAACTTTTTTAGATAAATTTTATTGACAGCATTCCCTTTTCTGAGTTCGTATTGTTTCTTTTAGTGAGTTTTCTTTTTAAATTTCATATCAGGCGCTCAAAAGAGGTGAATCTTATACGTGAAAATAATAGGGAAATGAAAACTATTATTTTACTATAAATAAAAAAGTAAAAGTGAAACAGATACGTAAAGAAAAACGGATGTAGGCATATAAATTCAAGTTCGTATCCCCCAGACTACAAATCCAGTGTCACACTTAAGTGTCTTACCTAAAACCTCGAGTGGATTTTGCCTACAACCTCAACAGCGATTGGGCGTGAATATTTCATGACGAGGCGACATCTCAAACAGACAGCCTTTGCTTACCTGAAACAACGATATAAATTACAGTTACACACATCATTTAATTAAATCTGTTCAAACGAGAATTTTAGCAACTTGAACACGGTAAATTATGCGTATGCGTATGTAAATCTAAACTTTGTTTTGAATTTAAAGTGAATGTAAGACATATTTTTATTGGTCGATAGGCGGAATGTTGGGTGCGGGAGATTTCTATAACGCTTGCCATATAAACCTATTATTAAGACTCCGCTGTCTGTTTCTCACCAGGCCACTACCGTGATATACAGTTGAATTTTTCATTGATGATGGGTTTCTATAGGCACTTTAAAAAAATAATAAAAACTGAATAAAATAAATATTTAGGGGGCTTTTTGTGTTTTCTATAGATAGATAGCCGAAGCCTTCATGAGCGACTTGCACTTGGTCGGTTATTGTAATACAAACCAAAGCACAATTATTTTTGCTATGCTATTGACTATTGCCTTTTCTCATTTTAATAATTTGTTCATTAATCGTTATAACGTCCACACTTATTACCACGTCATATCACTATTTTTCACTAAACATCAGAATCTCGCGACCGGTTTTTTAATTTAACATATTAAGGTAATAATTCAATATGAAGAAACGAATGAGGTTTGGGATAATCTGACCTACGTGATGTACAAAGTATATTTACAACTAGTATATATACAACTCTTGAAAGTGGAAGACTACCGTAATGATATTGATAATTTCGATAAATAGATAAGGACAGGCTACATTTAAAACAGCTCGCACAGAATATCTAAATTGGCATGTTAATACTCTGAACACGCTTCGGCAATCTTCAAAGTTCACAAAATGTCCCTTCTAAGCCTTTTACTGTAGCAATTAGTTCATTAAGTAGCGAAAAGATAGATATTACTATTTCATTCATTTGAAACGGCCATTTTGCTATAACATTTATAACAACAAAGGGCATTTATTTTTAGAATCAACTGAGTATCTTTTAAATATACTTATATTGAAATAATCCTATATACATTAAATGAAATCACCGTGAAGGTTTTCTAAAACAAACAGTTGATTCGAAATTTGATTGTGACCGACAGATTAATTTAAATGAAATGTAATGATACAATATACGTAATTACGTTATATTTCTGTGAGTTGAAATTTTCTGGCTAAAAAGTTACTTCTAAGAGACAAATATGTTAGATTTCCTCTCGTAATTACATTATTTTAATACAGTGAAAGACAGTCACCCGATATGTGACAAAGTGTTCTCTCGAGTGTTCGTCTATGCTTCGGACGTCATACCATTGGCTCCAGGTGCATTCGCCATCCTATATCCATAGCAAATATCTGATTGCTAGGGAGCAATGGACACATAAATATTTTAATGACGATTATAGCGAAATCGTTAAAAATGAGACAATCTGCAGCCAAAGATGGACAAGAGATTTTATAATTACTGTGGTCATAACAGTATATAATGTCTTACCACGGAGTTATACTTTTCATTTCGAACTTATCACTCGTGAAACGGCGTATAATAATAAATGTTAATAAATTAACCTGCACATTTCAATACTTTATTTTAGAAAGAATCTCATTGTAGTTTCCTTTCTCTCTACAAACATATAGTCGTAAGTGTCCACTAAAAATGTTTCTAAGATTTTCCCACGGGAAATAGAACTCGGTGCAAAAGGAAACAGAACTGCGTGCGACTGGCTTGCACGGAGTTCTATTTTCAAATAAGAAACAACAACTTTAATAATAAATCATTACTATTATCAAGATAACTGTTACTGATGCCATATATAGAGAAAATTCTAAATTATTACTAACAAAGCGATTTAACTTTTCTTTAAGCACCTTATCGTTACCTATCTAGTACTATGTAACCAGAAAATTGAACTTCCTCTATATAAAGAAAACAATATGGTCTATGGGGGTTCATTTTATAGCTAACATCTAACATTTCCTTAGACAGCAGAGTCTATCTTTGCAAACTGTGAATTTTGCAACATTTAGGTTTCATCATGTATGGTCTATGGGGCTAATTTTGTAGCTAACATCTAACATTTCCTTAGACAGCAGAGTCTATCTTCGCAAACTGTGAATTTTGCAACATTTAGGTTTCATCATGTTTGTGGGTCCTCATTCAATAAAGAGCTCGATACTGCATTTGATTCCCTCCCTTCCCTATGTAGGGTACCGGGTACAGACCCGGTACTGACATAAATAGACTGATGATGAGTCATCATTAGTTATTAGTGATGTTATAATATTAACTGACAGGCCTTATGCATCAGTTACATTGGCAACAGTAAAATATCACCAATAAATAGAATGTGCATTGTTCGCCCGCTTGGCACTGGCCATTATGACATTTGATTTTAATTAATTAAGCTAAGAAAATTTTGTGTTAGCATTATGTGTATACAACAATGTAGCTGGATGGTTTTGATGTCGGAACTCGTTTATTTATTACATCTGTAGTGATGTACCACGTCCCTTTTTTAAGCTGTCTGTCAGTATCATCCGTTTTCACTAAGCTAGAACAAATCACCTAAGCAGATTATTTTAATTACAAATAATTTTTTTTCTGTTATGCAAGACACATTTCAAATGCCTAGTACAAGGCGCCGTATAACTCATGTCATAATAGTAGGCAATGCTTTATTTCGTTAGTTGGTTCTTAGCCATTGGTGAAATACAATTTCACCTTAGGCGTTTCCTTTATAGTTGAGCGACTTCAAATTCAGTGAGTAGCTCGGTGGCATAGTGTTTAAGCGCAGCGGCCCGCGATCGTTGTCGTTAAGCAACTTTCGCAGGGGTCGGTCATGGGATGGGTGACCAAAAAATTATTATCTCGAGCTACTCCATGCTTCGGAAGGCACGTTAAGCCGTTGGTCCCGGCTGCATTTAAAGTCGCTAATACCCTCCAATCCGCATTGGGCCCGCGTGGAGGGTCATGGCCCATTCTCCTTAACCATCCATAAGGAAGGTCTGAGCCCCTGCAGTGGAGACATAAAAGGGCTGATGATGAAATTCAGTGAAAATGGGCATAAATCTCATAGCTACACCAAAAAGGTCCCGCTTCTGCAAACACAAAAACTAGATTCTAGATTTTCACAGCATTCGATAACGCGGACGTTATGTAGATGCACTTCTCACTCTCACTTGGTGATTAGCTTTTGTATAATTAATTGACGCAGGATATTATCTTTTCATAAGGTTAACTCATGTGTTGGATACTCTTATGGGCAAAAGTTATTGTAAGTTGAAGATTATTTGAAACATCGAGGAGGCATGGCACTAAATATGGCATCAGTTACGCTCATACGACATACTCGCTTAAATATCTTAGCTTGTATACTCAACAGCATGTTTACTTAATATGATTTTGATTGATTGATTGAATATTCTTTATTGCACTATGAAATACAGTAAGAAAGGTACATAAAACTAGATTCAGTAACACAAAAGGCGGCCTTATTGCTAAGGTAGCAATCTCTACCAGGCGACCCTAGGCTAAAGGCGTCCGATTTATTTATTTATTCTTCGGCACAATTCCCAGATGAAATTATTGCAAAGCTGAAAAACGGACCGTTCAAGATTTATGGGGCGCTGAAATATTGCTGTGAGTGATAGCAGAGGGAATGAGTTGTTACAGATGGTTTGATCTATTAGACATCTCAGCAAACTTAAAATAAAAACAACAAACACTAACTTTCCGTGCATAAATTGCTCATGGGATTTTCCAAAAAGAAGGTCCTCAATTCTGCTGAATGTCATTAAAATTGTCAATACATAATATCATTCAGATGAATTGCAAAGCTCAGGAGCAATAAAAAAAATTAATATAAAACGAGACAATAGAACCCAATCTAAGAATACCAAAATCTGTCGAGTGTCATAAAAGAGGCACGCGTACAACAATATCACATGATCTTGATTAATTTATGTACATATTGCAATCTCAGATCACACAAAGAAATTTCTTTCTGTGATTTGTAAGAGCGTTGACATAAATAACACTTGACATTCACTGATTTGCTTTGAAGTAAAATAAAAAAGGCCAGCAGTAAAATTAAATATGCCACGTAGAATAAATAGAAAAAAAAATTATGTGAGAAATTTATTGCAAATTCACGTTTGTATATTTTGCATTATTCGGTTTTCTGCTTATAGTTTCCTGGAAAATACTCGTATCAGTTCGAAAGATTACCTTTAGCTCTTACTTGGAACGAGCGAATTCAGATGCGATTTAGAAGTTTAATGCTACTAATACACCAGATCGTCTATTCTGTATAGGCGATCCAGCAATCCGCGTAGTGGCTCATGGCCCATTCTCCCCAGCAGTAGGGATATTAATAAGCTTGTGGTGCTGCTGTGCTGGACTTTTACGCGTCGTGTTTTGCTGCTGTCACGTGTAGTTTCATATATTAGAAAGAAACGTATGTATTTCTGCCTCAATACATAAATGTGTCTCTAACTATATAAAAATGTATGAAATCTATATGCCTCTGGTTCTTTTATGTTCTACGACACAAAACGACTGAGGAATGTGTTTCTGCCATATCATCACAACATTTACGCGCATTTCTGGCGAGTATGTTACTTATTTACCTAAATATCGCGCGCTAAAATTGCTAAAAAGAATGAACTAGCAAAAGAGAGCAACATGAGCTAAGTTGCTAGGAAACATTGTAATTTTATTTCCAAACTTTGCCTTATTTGTCGATCTTTATTCTCGTAATTCGGATTACTTACTAACGTGGTTTAAAGTTCAAAAGTAAACGGGACCAACAAATTAAGTTGAACCCTTTCATTTATAGCTGGTATCGATATTATGGGTCGAAGTTTTTAATTTTTTCCGAATAACGTTTTCTACAATAGACAATGTACTGACAGTAAAAATATTATTATGACAATTATCATATCATCACCTATTGATGTCCCCATTTCTGGGGCAGTATACAGCGTGTTTAGTAATACCTGTATAATTCCGAAACATGGCCATACAACCT